TGTATCCACAACATGGCGAATATAATTGTGTATTATAACTATAATCGCTCATGGTCTGTGTAGCTGTAGTGTCTCTTAAATCCAGAAAGATGTAATGCCAACCCATTTTCTCTGCTAAAGTCCCACCAAATTCAAAAAGCAACAGAATTCGCTGGCGGTTATATACTTTTTTTGTTGGGCCGAAAATTTATCAGCACACCTTTCCAAATCCTGACTAAAACGAGTATTTTCAAATTTATGACGGAAACAATTTCGTTATATTATCGTTAGTTCAATTCTTATGGGTGCCCCGCTTTAGCAGTCTTGTACTCGACTAATCTATGCCTGTTCGTTGCTATTACTCTTTTGTAGCGACACACAGTGAAAAGCGAGGTTTCTTGAGAGGCCGGTAGAGCGAGACTGGATTCAATATCACGACCTGAGTGAGTTTCTTTAGAACGGTACGAGCGCGTGTTTGAATGTATTCTCCTGTGTCTGTGTGTTGGTCCCATGGCTCTACGCTTGTAACAAACAGGTGCCTAAACGGGTGATTGTTACCAACACCTGGCAGCTCTTTACCGGAAGAAAGACTGGAGCCACACAAGTTAGACCCATAAATTACACCCACACCGACACCCGCACCCACACCTCCCTGACACACACACAACTTAGTGTGTGTGTGTGTGTGTGTGTGTGTGTGTGTGTGTGTGTGTGTGTGTGTGTGTGTGTGTGTGTGTGTGCATAGGTGTGTGTCTGTGTCTGCGTGTGTGTGTGCGTGTCTGTACGTGTGTGTCTATACGTGTGTCTGCTTGGTAGATTTATCGATAGGCTTTTTATCACTGTATATCTTTCGTTTTTTCCCCCCCTTCTTTCTTTGATTGAAAATTATTTTTCATTCTTTTTCCTTTGTTTCTGTAACTAAATATTTGTGTTTTTTAATACAGTTTTTTCTTTCATTCTTTTTTCTTTCTTTCTTTCCTTCTTTCTTTCTCCACTCAATTTATTCTTTTTTCTTTCTTCACTCCATTTATTCTTTCTTTCTTTCTTTCTTTCTTTCTTTCTTTCTTTCTTTCTTTCTTCTTCTCAGCTTATTATTTTCTTTCTTTCTCCCTTCAACTTATTCTCTTTCGTTCTCCACTCAGTTTATTCTTTCTTTCTTTCTTTCTTTCTTTCTTTCTTTCTTTCTTTCTCCATTCAACTTAATCTTTCTTTCAGTCTTGTTCTCTGATTCTCTCTTTCTTTTGTGGAGGGAATGAAATCCATTTTAAATTATCTTTTCTTTTCACTTTTTCTTTCTTTTCTTTCGTCTCTTTCTTTTCTTTCTTCTCCTCCTTCATTCTCGACATTTTTTTTATCTCTCATTTGCTTCCATTTTTTTTATCTTTTTCATTCGTTAGTTCATTCATTTTTCTCTTTTTCACCAATAAAAATTATTTCTCTTTTTTATGTTTTCATTTCTTTCATCTTTATTTTTTCAGTTTCTCTCTTTCTTGCTTTTTTTTTTCTTTTTTCTTCTTCTTTTGTTATCTACTTTCTCGTTTTTGGTTAAATTTGTTAAAATTATTTTAAGATATGTTTTATTCGTTTTCTTTTTCCAAATGTCGAGTTTGTTTGTTTTTTTACTTATTCCTTCTCTTTCTTTCTTTACTTGTTTTCCCTCAAATTTGATTTTTTTTCTTTCTCTCTCTCTCTCTCTCAAAACAACCTTTAATGCTTCCTTTCTTTCTTTCTTTCATTTTCACCACCTCTTTCTTTTTTTCTTCCGCTTACACATTTTTTTTTTACTAATTTGCTATGCTTCAGTTTGGATGATTAATTTTGTCCCATAATGCTTGTACATTTGTATATGTACTTTATGTACTAAATGCAACAACCTTTATGGGACAGAGATGTTAATATTTTAAATTGTTTCTTTTTCTTCTTCATTCTCGTTTCTATTTTTTCCTCCTTCATATTTTTTTTCATTCTTCTCCTTCATTTTCACTCTGTCTTTTCCTTTCCTCTTGCAGAGTTCTTCAATCTGTTTCATAATATTTTTATGTCTCCTCTTTTTCTATTCTGGTTATTCACCTCTCTCTCTCTCTCTTTTTTCTTTTTTTCTTTATTCTTCCTCCTCCTCACTTTTCTTTATCATTACTCTATTCTTCTTTCTTTTTTTTCTTTAATACTTATTCATCCATCTCTCCTTTTCCTTGTTTTATTTCCCTCCCTTCATTTCTCTCTATACTTGATCTTCATCCTTCTTTCTTTTTATACTTGCTTTCTATTCTTCTCCTCTCTCTGTACGTATCTCTCTCTCTCTCTCTTTTGCTTTATTTTTTCTCCATTTCACTTTATTTCCTTACGTTTCTTTCCACACTCTTTCTTTTTTCTTTTAATTATTCTTCATCTTTTTTTCTACTACTATATTTCCTTTAAACTCTTTTTCACTTCTTCATTTGTCTCCCTCTCTTTTTTTACGTTCATTTTATTTCGTTATTTTTCCTGTATTTGTTTTTTCATCCGAACTCTTCATTTTTAATTCTTCTTTTCCCCTCTCTATTTTTCCGTCTTTCTTTCTCCCCCCCTCTTTATTTTCTTTACTTTTTTCTTATTCTTTCTTCCTCCCTCTTTGTCTTTATTCTTTCTTCCGTCCGCTCTTTTTCATTTACTTCTTTTTCTTCTTCCCCCTCTTTCTTTTCTTTCCTTCTTTCTCCCTCTTTTTCTTTATTCTTGCTTCCATTCCACTCTTTTTCCTTTACCACTACTTCTTCCCCCTCTCTATTGCCTTTGCATCTTTCTTCCTCACACTTTTTTTATTCTTTCTTAGATCGGCTCTTTTTCATTTACTTCTTCTTCATCCACCTCTCTGTTTCTTTCTTTCATTCTTTTTCCCACTTTTTCTTTATTACTTCTTCGGTCCGCTCTTATTTTTTTTTTTTTCTTCTTCTTCATCCCCTTGTCTTTTTTCTTCAATTCTTTCTTTCTCAGTCTTATTCTTTATTCTTTCATCACCCTTTCTCTTTTTCCTTTTCTTCTTATTGCTACTCAATGTTTCACCCCGTTTTCTTTATTCTATTTTCTATTTTCTTCTTCTTCTTCTTCTTCTTCTTCTTCTTCTCTCTGTATCCTTTACTTCTTTCTTCCTCTCTCTTTTTCTTTATTCTTTGTTCTGTTCGCTCATTTTCCTTTTTTTCTTCTTCCTCCTCCCTATTTGCTTTACTTCTTTCTTCCTCATTCTTTTTCTTATATACATTCTTTGGTCCGCACTTTTTCCTTTTCTTTTTCTTCTTCTTCCAATGCTCTGTTTTCTTTACTTCTTTCTAACTCCCTCTTTTTCTTTATTCTTTCTTCCATTCCACTCTTTTTCTTTTACTTCTTTACTACCCCCTCTCTGTTTACTTTACATCTTTTTTCCTACCTCTTTTGCTGTATTCTTTCTTCGGTCCACCCTTTTACCATCCCTTCTTCTTCTTTGTCCCTTCTCTCTTTTTTTTACTTATTTCTTCCCCACTCATTTTCTTTACACCTTCCTCCGTCCTCTCTTTTTCTTTCTTTCTACTTCTCTCCCCTTTCTGTTTTTTCTTCTTTCTTCCTCCTTCTTTATCTTTATTCTTTCTTCACTCCGGTTTTTTCCTACACTTCTTCTTCTTCTTTCCCCCCTCTCTGTTTTCTATACTGCTTTCTTCCTCTTGTTTTTTCTCTATGCTTTCTTCGGTCGCTCTTTTTCCTTCACTTGTTGTTGTTGATGTTGTTGTTGTTCTTCTTCTTCTTCTTCTTCTTTTTCTTCTTCTTCACACTCTCTGTTTTCTTTCTATCTAACTCCATATTTCTACGTTATTCATTCTTTTGTCCGCTTTTTCCTTGAATACTTCTTCTACCTCCACGTCTATTTTTTTATGTCTTTCTTCCTCACTATTTTCTCTTTTTTGCCTTCACTTCTGCCTCTTCCGACTCACTGTTTTCTTTATTATTTTCTCTCTCTGCGCTCTTTTTCCTTTACTTATACTTCTTCGTCTTAACCGCCACACCCTCTTTTCTTTCCTTCTTTCTCCCTCTTTATCTTTATTCTTTCTTCCTTTCCGCTCTTTTCCATTTACTTCTTTCTTCCTTCTTCTTTTTCTTTATTCTTTCTTTCGTCTGCTCTTTTACATTTACTTCTTCTTCCCCCTCTCTGTTTTCTTTCTTTCTTTCTCCCTTTTTTCTTTATTCTTTCTTCCATTTCGCTCTTTTTACTTTTACTTCTTCTTCTTCCCCCTCTCTGTTTTCTTTCCTTCTTTTTCATCTCTATTTTTTTACTTCTTTCTTCCTCCCTATTTTTCTTTATTCTATCTTTCGACCGCTCGTTTTCATTTTACTTCTTCTTCTTCTTCTTCTTCTTCTTCTTCTTCTTCTTCTTCTTCTTCTTCTCTTTCCTTCTTTTTCCCCCTGTCTATTTTCTTTATTCTTTCTTCCATTCCACTCTTTTTCATTTACTTCTTCTTCTTATTATTATTATTATTATTCCTTCTCACTGTTTTCTTTCCTTCTTTTCCCCTTTTTTCTTTATTCTTCTTCCATTTCGCTCTTTTTACATTTACTTCTTCTTCCAACTCTCTGTTTTCTTTCAGTCTTTCTCCCTCTTTTTCTTTAATTCTTTCTTCCATTCCGCTTTTTTCCTTTACTTCTTCTTCTTCCCCCTCTCTGTTTTCTTTCCTTCTTTAACTCTCTTTTTCTTTTTTCTATCTTCCTTTCCGCTCTTTTTTATTTACTTCTTCTTCTTCCTTCTCTCTGTTTTCTTTCCTTCTTTCCCCTCTCTATATTTTTTACTTCTTTCTTCCTTCCTCTTTTTCTTTATTCTTTATTTCGTCCGCCCTTTTTTTTATTTAATTCTTCTTCTTCCGCCTTTCTGTTTTTTTCTTTCTTTCTTCTACTTTTTTTCATTTATTTCTTCTTCCTCCTCCTCTCTGTTTTCTTTCCTTCTTTCTTCTCCCAGTCTATTTTATTTACTACTTTCTTCCCCACTCTTTTTTCTTTATTGATTCTTTCGTCCGCTCTTTTTCATTTACTTCTTCTACTTCTCTGCCCTCTCGTTTTTCTTTCATTCTTTCTGCCTCTTTTTCTTTTTTCTTTCTTCCATTCCGCTCTTTTTACTTTTACTTCTTCTTCCCCTTCTCTTTTTTCCTTCTTTCTCTCTCTTTTTCTTTATTCTTTCTTCCATTCCGCTCTTTTTACTTTTACTTCTTCTTCCCCTTCTCTTTTTTTCCTTCTTTCTCCCTCTTTTTCTTTATTCTTTCTTCCATTCCACTCTTTTTCATTTACTTCTTCTTCTTTCCCCTCTCTGTTTTCTTTCCTTCTTTCTCCCTCTTTTTCTCTAATTCTTTCTTCCTTTCCGCTCTTTTTCATTTACTTCTTCTTCTTCCGCTTCTCTGTTTTCTTGACTACTTTCTTCATCTCTCTATTACAATATTCTTTTTTCGTCCCCTCTTTTTCTTTTAATACTTCTTCTTCCCCGCTTTCTATTTCCTTTTCATCTTTCTTCGTCAATGTTTTTTTTTATTCTTTCTTAGGTCGGCTCTTTTTCATTTCCTTCTTCTTCATCCACCTCTTTCCGTTCTTTTTCCATTACTTTTTCCTCTTCCGCCTCACCCTTTTCTTTATTATTTTCTCCCGACTTTTTCTTTCTTCCACTCCCTTTTTCTTCATCCTTTCTAACGTCCCCTCATTTTCTTTTACTTCTCCTTCTTTGCCTCTTTTTTCCTTTCTCGCTTTCTTTATTCTTTCTTCCGACGGCTCATTTTCCTTTACTTCTTCTTCCTGCTCTCTGTTTTATTTACTTTTTTTTCTTCCCTCTCTTTCTTATCCTTTCTTCCGTCCACTCTTTTTACTTTACTCCTTCTTCTTCTTCCTCCTCTCTGTTTGCTATTCTTCGTCCTTCCTCCGTTTATTCTTTCTTCCGTCTGCTCTTTTTCCCTTTTTTTAATTCTTCTTCCAACTCTCCGTATTATTTCCATCTTTCTTCCTCCCACTTTTTCTTTATTCTTTCATCCGTCCTCTCTTCCCCCCCTCCCTCTATTTTCTTTCCTTCTTTCTCCATCTGTCTTTCTTTTTATTCTTTCTTCCGTCGGCTCTTTTTCCTTTTCTTCTTCTTCTGTTTCTTCCTCACTCTTCTTCTTTATTAGTTTTTCCAATCGCTTTTTTCCTTTACTTTTTCTTCTTCTTTCTCCTATCTTTGTCCCTCCTCCATCCTTTTCTTTATTCTTTCTTTCGTCCACTCTTTTTATTTATCTTCTTCTTCTTCTTCTTCTTCTTCTTCTTCTCAGTTTTCTTTTCTTCTTCCCTCTTTTTCTTTGTTCTTTCTTCCCTCCCCACTTTTCCGTTCTTCTTCCTTTCTTCTTCTTCCTCCTCTCTGTTTTCATTACTTATTTTTCCTCTCTTTTTTATTTTTCCTTTCTTCCGTCCGCTCTTTTTCATTTCTTATTCTCCTTCTCCTTTTTTTACTACGTCCTTCATGCCTATTTTTCTTACTTCCGTCTACTCTTTTTCCTTTTCTTCTTCTTCCCCCATCCCTTTTTACTGTGGTCTTCATCCCTGTTTTTCTTTCTTCCTTCCGCTCTTTTTCATTTCTACTTCTCCCTCTCCATTTTTTTACTGCGTTCTTCATCCCTGTTTTTCTTTCATCCGGCCGCTCTTTTTCCTTTTCTTCTTCTTCTTTTTCTTCTTCTTCTTCTTCTTTTTTTCTGCGTCCTTCATCACTATTTTTCTTTCTTCCGTCCGCTCTTTTTCCTTTTCTTCTTCTTCTTCTTCTTTTTTACTGCGCCCTTCATCCCTGTTTTTCTTTCTTCCGTCCGCTCTTTTTCCTTTTCTTCTTCTTCTTCTTCTTCTTCTTCTTCTTCTTCATTTTTACTGCGTCCTTCATCCCTGTTTTTCTTTCTTCTTGTCCGCTCTTTTTCCTTTTCTTTTTCTTCTCTTCTTTTTTTTTTACTGCGTCCTTCGTCCCCGTTTTTCTTTCTTCCTGTCCGCTCTTTTTCCTTTTCTTCTTCTTCTTCTTCTTCTTCTTCTTCTTCATTTTTACTGCGTCCTTCATCACTGTTTTTCTTTCTTCCTGTCCGCTCTTTTTCCTTTTATTCTTCCTCTTCTTCTTCTTCTTCTTCTTCTTCTTCTTCTTTATTTTTACTGCGTCCTTCGTCCTGTTTTTCTTTCTTCCTGTCCGCTCTTTTTCCTTTTCTTCTTCTTCTTCTTCGTCTTCTTCTTCTTCTTCTTCTTTATTTTTACTGCGTCCTTCATCCCTGTTTTTCTTTCTTCCGCCCGCTCTTTTTCCTTTTCTTCTTCTTCTTCTTCTTCTTCTTCTTCTTTATTTTTACTGCGTCCTTCATCCCTGTTTTTCTTTCTTCCGCCCGCTCTTTTTCCTTTTCTTCTTCTTCTTCTTCTTCTTCTTCTTTATTTTTACTGCGTCCTTCATCCCTGTTTTTCTTTCTTCCGTCCGCTCTTTTACCTTTTCTTCTTCTTCTCCTTTTTTTTATACTGCGTCCTTCGTCCCTGTTTTTCTTTCTTCCTGTCCGC